TACACCCAAATTAAATTTACACCAAAATTATTAATTAACATTACCTTTATTAATTTAAACAATGAGATTAAGTCAAAGTCACATAACTGACAATTAGCACAGACGAATTATCAGAGCGAATTTTCATATTTTGTATTATCCTACTATTGTTACACAATTTATTAACATACTCTTTTTTAGGTTCATTTGATAACGAGAGCAGAAAATAGCTATCGAAACGTCAAGGTAATTTTTCAAATTAATTTCTCTACTAATTGGAATTTTCTCTTACAGCTTGAGCCTAAGTGTGTCGCAGGATACCCTCTAGGTGATAGTTCTTGATTACTTTTTGATAAATAATTCGTTCTTATTGCGAATAGGAGCACTATTTATCAATCTGTAATAAAAGACGTGAGGAAATTCTGTCTCTTTTTTTAAAGACAAAAATTTTTGAGGCGAAATACCCAAAAAGAAGTTTGTAAAAAATGAATCCGCCTCAACAATAGAGAACTTATCTAGAAACAGGAAGTTTCCGAAGCGCTCTATCGAAAGTGTTTTACTGAAGGTTCATATATTTTCGTTGGTTGTTTAAATAAGGGTTAAACTTAGAGCACTTAAGAATCTTATATACTCTTGATTAGCTTCTTAAATGTTAGAGTTTCCATATGAAACTATGTTGTTACCTAGTCCAATACCAACGGTGGTTCCCTACCTACTACAAATCTTGCTTTAGCATCCTAACCGCTTGTAATAGCAAGTAAATGCAAAATTTGCACTTTGGGACTGCCCATGCACTTATTGAGGACTCGCCACTGATCTAAAACATTTTCGTTTCCATGGTCAGGTTCATTTGGAATATTGTTAGCAGGTTAGCTAGTAAGTTTGGACACTTCGATAATGATTTTTTTTATTAGGAAACACTAGCCTTCTCTTTAACTTAAATACACTGTTGAAAAATTGCAGACAAAATAAAATCCATTTAGTTTTATATATGCTATATTAAATAATATACTGGAACTGTCCACCTCCGCTTTGTTCTAGCCGCTTATGCTTATCAAATGCGATGTATGCACTTGGCAAGGTTGCAGGGAATAGTTGAAAAATTAAATAATAATATAAATAATATATTTTCCGATTTTCATCTGTTTACTCCCGCTTCCATTTACTGCTGAAACCGCAAATGGTCATCAATATTCAATTAGAAGATGCGTTACTCCATGTCCTGCACGTCCTTATGAATCTTTTGATGACCCTTTAAATTATGTTTCCACTTGAATCTCATACTGCATCTGTCGCAACCAAAAGGACGTTCGTCTGAATGTGTTTTCAAATGTCTGTTTACAGCTCCTGAACGAGCGAATGTTTTATTACATATGTTACATTGAAACTGCCTTTCCTTCGAGTGCACCGTCTTATGACTGCGCAAACCTTGTAATGATAAGAAGCTCTTACGACAAAGTCTACAATCATAACGTTTTTCCTTTGTATGTTTATTTCGGTGCGTTTGAAGCTCACATCGCCTCTTAAAAGTCAAACTGCAGAAATCACATGCATGACGACGTTCGTTTGAGTGGGTTATGGCATGAAGACTTAGACTTGTAGCATATAGAAACTCTTGTTGACAAATCTTGCAGACGTACCGCTTTTCTTTCGTATGCTTATTTCGATGTTGCTCTAAATAACTTTTCCACTTGAATCTTAAATGGCAAATATCGCATGCATACGGCAGTTTCTGTAAATGAATTAGCAAATGTTCATTTAGCTGTAGCACGTCGTCGCATGTTTTAGAGCAAATGTTGCAGCATAATCTATTGGTCTCAGATTCAGCATCTGGTTCCAATTTTATGCTTCCTTGTTCGGACAGATAATGCTCATCAATTGTAATTTCATCTTTTGCTTTAATGTATCTCTTATTTTGTAACCTAAAAACAGAAATAATTAGTATAAACTAACTAAACTTTGTAATAATACGCAATCATTTTTTAGCATGGAAGGATATTGGCAATTAGATACAAATTTGTTATATACAATTCACTTTATTCCTCAGAATACGTTTCGATGTTTATTCTTTCCACAATCATCAGTTCATTGTGTATAATTTGCGCCTACGACAAATTTTGGCTGGATTCTCAAGAACAAAGCTGGCTCGAAAAGTAACACTATTGACAATTGGCAAAAGTGCGACGTTCAGACTGATCAGTATCGGTTATTTATTATAATATATTATATATAATAAATATCCCCCTCGGAAATTAACCCAAATATCCCTTGATTTCTCGGCTCCAGAACTGACTGAGATAATCGTCATTCAGTCACATAATTTTTGCAACCACGTAGGAGACTATGTGGCGCTTGAAAATGCCAAACCACTTACGTAAGCTTCGTTCGTCCAAAGAAAATTTAATTTTTTTTAATGCAAACCCCTAATTTCTTGAGGAGGGCTAAGTAGTCAAAAAAGCGTCGGTCAGACACTGGATATTAATTGTTTATTCATATGTACGATTAGGGCTACACACTGTATCAGGCATTTTCCTCATGATACCTTTATTATGGAACATATAGTAAGTAAGACAAAACCAATCCAATATTTTTGTGAGCTACAGTAAATTAACCCAAATTTCACAAACCAATTTTAGCACCATTATTGTTAGGAATATTCATTTTCATTGCCAGGTGCACTAGACAAATTGATAGCAGTTTAAGTTGAAATTATGTAGTTGAAAAATGAAGTGGTTTTTATTAAAAAAATGAAAAATGTCCCTCTCTTCCATAGCTTAAATACCCATTTCTTATCTAAAAGTAGAAATACCACGTTTGCTTTGTACATAGTAATAAATTTCGGAGTTTTTATGCCTTAATCCGTTGGTCCATATGGATTTTTTCTTGATTCTTAAAATTATGCTTCAATTTGAACCTCAAATTGCATTTATCGCAACTGAAGGGGCGTTCTTTGAATGAGTTTTTGAATGATAAGCTGCAGCCCCTCGACCGGTGAAAGATTTATTGCAAATTTTACAATGAAACTGTTTCTCCTTCGTATGCAAATTTCGATGATCTTGTAAAGCCTGTTTTGTTTTGAAACTCCGCGTACAAAAATTGCATTTAAAAGGGCGTTGATCGGAATGACTCACTTTATGGGCCGATAAGCTTCGAGATGTCAAAAACATTTTATTACAAACATTACAGTGATAGCGTATTTCCTTCGTATGCTTATTTCGGTGATCTCTTAGCTGACGAGTTGTCTTATACGTTGAACCACATAAATCACATGCGTGAGGTCGATCGTCTGAATGTGTTTTTAAATGCGCATTCAAATTTGATTTGTACTTAAACTCATGCTGGCAAATATTGCAAATGTGCTGTTTTTCTTCTATATGCGTGGTGCGATGCCGAGCTAAATAACTTTTATACTTGAATCCTAAATTGCAAATATCGCATGCATAAGGCAATTGCTGTTTTTGAGTTAGCAAATATTTCTGTATATGAGCATGAGTGTTTCGATGACGGGCTAAATAACTTTGATACTTGAATCCTAAATTGCAAACGTCGCATGCATAAGGAAATTTCTGTATATTGGTTAGCGAATGTTTGTGCATATGAATATGCCTGTTTCGATGCCGAGCTAAATAACTTTTATACTTGAATCTTAAATTGCAAATGTCGCATAAATAAGGCGATTTCTGTATATGAGTTAACAAATGTTCGTTCAGCTGCTGTAAATCACTGCATTGTGTACTACAAACATTGCAACAGAACTCATTTGTGGTCGATGTCTTATCTGCTTTCAATTTTATGCTTTCAAGCTTGGACAGGTCCTGTTCATCAATTGTAACTTCTTCTTTTACTTTAATGCACCACCCATTTTGTAAGCTAAAAACAGATACAATCAGTGCAAATTATACAGCAAACAAATATAAGTACTTTGTTATTTTACGACAGCAATAACTCTTTAACATGGAAAGGGATTGGCAGTTTGGAATAAAGTATAGTGCTCTGAAAGTGCTTAAATGGTCTCTATTTAAAAATGCTGCTCATGCCACTCATTTTGGAATCTAAAAGGAAACAATAATTAGCTTAATATGTAAAGCAAATAAATATTTTGATAAATAAGTACTTCAGGTATATTAATTTGAAAAATTACACTATAATTCAATGCCCAGTTGCAGTTGAACTAACATGGACAACTGGAAAATATAATATGCCCAGTGAATGTGTAGGTAAAACTTTGATATTTTTGGTACTTTCTTTATTACAATTGTTTTACAGTAAATTACATTATTACCTAACTACATTTATAGATTTATTAAAACTTTCTCAAAAGTTTCCCCATAATAAGATATTTTACCGCAGCATCGCTAATTTATGACCACGCGAGTTTTAACTACTCTTGCACCATTTCTACTCTGAAAGTGGTAATGAGTTAACAATCGACACAAGAGCGGATTATTTTACTTTTATGTACCACTCAGTCCGTAGTCTTAACACCGAAATAATTAGAAAAACGGTTGGAACAAACAGACATTGCATTTGCAAACGTTGCGGCATTAAATAGCCCAGTAAATGGGTTGTCTGACGACAGAGAATTCTTCCGTTTTTTAAGATTAAGGGGCGCGGGGGACCTTTTCAATGTTTTCTTCGGCCGCACTTGGGTAATCTTTCACTTCAAGAAAACAAAACACTGCTAAAACGAGGGTTTGAGAAAAATAAGGATTTCCCAAGGCCGGTTCTCTTGTCTTGTTTTATAATTTTACTTTTTTTTTTCCCTTCGGTTTCCAGAAAAGGGTATCTTTGTCACCTCAGAGCCTTGTACCTCTATGGGCGTTTGCAATCATCCTAAGTAAACAAAGCGGAGGATTGGGGAAGGACTGTAGGGCATTTAAAACCGGGAAACATGTGCGAAATCCAAAAAAAATAGCCAACAGGCTTTTTAAATTGAAAGAAATGTTTTTAAAATCTTCAGTCTAAATTACAGTTTGCAAATTGTTCTTCACCCAGGGATGCCAGCTGATTTGACCGAAATCAGCAACAAAAAAAAACGTTTAGGTTTGAAGTTGATTTTTTTGTTTAAATCTCAAAATAAAAAAAATCGAAGTTAACTAAATGTGTTCAATGAACATAAGGAGGTTGTGGGTTAGGGAATTACCGAATTTCGAAAAACGGGGATATAATAGTCCACAATTCACCAAACAATCACTACTTGATCCCAAATAATCGCGAAATACCCAATCGGTTAGTCAAATGGAACTTACCCTTAAATTCTGGAACCACTTGGCATTCGCTTAATAAACTTTTTCTATAGCCAATCGTGGTCAAGCTAGATAAGAAAAAACCCACACACTAAACGGCAAAGATCTACGTTACTTTTGTCTTTCAAAAGTTGGAATCAGTCGGGTTCTGTCCACTCAAAAGTACTCTGAAGTGCGGTCCAGAAAAATTAATCTGATCCTTCAGAATGTAATCTGGAGAAAAAACGGGACTGACCGAGTCTCTCGACTCGGTGCAGGCTTATTTATCCCAGCAAAAAGAGGTTCCCTGTAATATACGGCTGTAATCCTATATGGATTCCCCTGCAAGATACGCGCTTTTTTGCTGTGCGCGTTTTTGTTATCATACGAACGGGGTTTTCGTATCCGATACGAGCATTGCCGCTGTAGAAGCAATTTTTTTTTTGTTTTTTATCAGCAGAACGGGGTTTCCCTATCCGATACGCGCGCTCCCACTATGCACCCAAATTTTTTATGTTTATTTTTGTCAGCAGAATGTGGTTCTCCTGTAATGGGGGTTTCCCTGCACGACAATATGTATAACCAATTCGCGATTGTTATTAAGGCAAAACATAAACTTTTCCAGTCACAGATAACAAGCACAAAAGTACTGTGATTTTAGGCTGAAACTCGCCAAGTGTGGTACTGTTTTCGATTCAATTTTCTTGCGTTTTTCCTAACTTGTGTGTGTAACTAAAGTGTATTCGCCTTGAAATGTCTCCAGGAAGAAATTTAAGTGAGTTTGATTCGGCCGAAACTGTCACCTTGTTGGAAGGGTATTCCCAACGTGAAGTCGCCCGAAGGTCGGGTGTTCATCAGTCAACAGTTTGTCATGCTAGATGACTAGGGGAACGCCGACCAAGACCCACCAAGTGGACGATCGTTTTATACGACTGCAATTTTTAAGAAATTGGTTTATTACCGGAAATGAGATAAAAAATCGATTTCAAAATGCCCGAAATGTGGCTGCTTCTTCCAAAACGGTAAGAAGAAGGCTCAGTGAATCCGGATTGAGTGCAAAACATCCCGCAAACGATCCTATCTTAGCCATAGCCCACAAGCAAGCTAGGCGTGAGTTTTCTCGAGAAAACGTTGATTGAGATTTGGATGACTGGAAGAAAGTCTTGTTTACTGATTGCTTCGGATGGGCGAGCTTTTATTTGGAGAAGACCAGGAGAAAGATACAGCCAAGCATGTATAATTGGTTTGGTAAACAGCGTCGGGCACAGGCGCTGGTATAGTCGAAAAAGGAAGAACTGGGGAAAGGATCACCTTAAACCTGGGTAGAACTACGACAGCTTTTCAAGCAAACATCCTAGCAATAACAAATTGTGTCCGGAAAATGAAGGAAAGAGCCTACACACGTAAGCACATTACCATCGTAACCGGAGATGAAGCCACAATAAAGGCATTAGAATCGTACACAATCA